GGAACAAGTGAGTGAGGGCCACCTCAGCCAGGGACCTGGAGGCCTATGAGCCAGAGCAGAGGCACAGCCTGCCAGAGGGGTCTGGCTGGCTCAGGGCCCATATGGGGCCTGCCAGCACAGTCCCCAGAAGCCTGGGAAGCCCAGTGTGGCCCTCTATGGATGTGAGAATGTTGGATACAGGTCCTCCGGAGTCTGGGCTCTGAGAGTGTTCCGCCGCCCTCACAGTCTGCTTTGTCCTTTGCTTTTCACCTCCCAGGAAGGAATCCCTCTGGGGCCTGTGATCACCAGCTGGTGCGATCGGCACCTCTGGTCTGTGCCCAGCTGCATGCGGGTGAGGGTAGGTCTGGGAAGTGAGAGGACATTGCTGTTCACAGGCTCTAATGTTTACCAACAACCTTCTGTGTGCCAGGCTTGGTGCTCAGTGGGGGGTGGTGGTGCTGGGGTACAAGGACTGGACTGCCTCTGGCCATTCCTTCCGGGGGTTCCTGCTGCAGCCTGGTCTGTCTCAATCCCCTGCACCATGCCTGGGGCTCCTGGGCTTTGGGGCCCCCTCTGACCAGTGGCTTTGGAGCCAGCCTCTTTTCCCCATCCAGCCTATGACTGCAGGGCAATGGGAGACTGAGCTCCAGGCATGCAGGTGCCCACCTCCAGTGCCTTGCAGTCCCCAGAATGTTCCTTGCTGGACAGCCGCAGGGCTCAGGGCAGTGGAGAGACGGGGGCTATGACCTTTAGCCACGGCCTCATGGGTTCTTGAGTCTTTGCATTCTTCCTCAAAGTGGGGTGCAGCCCAGTGTCAGCCCCCGACCTGGCACAGGAAGTGTGAGTGCTTCCAGCCACAGGGCCAGTAGGGGTGCATTTTTTTTTGTTTGTTTTGTTTCATTTCATTTTGTGTCGTTTTTTGGTATAAAAGTACATTTTATTTTTTCATATTCAAAGGTTTATTTTCTTGACAAATACAAGGTGACTTTATCATGAATGGAGAGAGAACCCTGGTGAATAAAGTCTAAAGGTTATGCACTTTTAAAAAAGTATCAGATACTACTAGGTGCATCATAAAATGCAGAAATAGAATCACAGTGTTCTGCTCAATAAACCCAGAACTCCTTTAGGAACCTCCCCCCATTATCTTTTATTTTGCTTTTTATTTGTGTTTGGGTATCTCATATAAGAGAAATTATGCTATATTTAAACTTGTGTGTCTGATGTATTTCACTTAACATTATGGTCTCAAGGTGTATCCATTTTCCTACAAATAACTCGTTTATCCCTCTTTATTTTTTTTAATAATTAAGAGACTTTATTCTAATAGCTATAATTCCAGTGCTTGTCAAAATGAAAACTGAAAACAAGTATGCAAAATGGTTGATTACTAACGGGGTACTGAAAGCAGCAAGAGGTTCCACAACACCAAATCAACCAGTTCTGAGGTTTCCCCAAGATAGTTTTAACTCCAACTTCTTCAGTGTTTATCAAAATACAAAAGAAAAAAGTACAGAGCATCTTTTTCAATGGCAAATCAGACCCTTGCTTGCTTAGGGAGGAAGGTCCTCACATATGGAGTCAGGGAGCTCCAGGACTGTGGTCTGGAGTGAACCCACTGACCCAGCCTGCATGTGCTCCTGCTGGCGAGACCCGGATGTTGCCCAGGTGTCTGAGCAGCACGGGGAGCATGCACTCTCGCTCAGACACACACTGATCAAGAAGGAGGGTGATCGGGGCTGGGGATTTAGCTCAGCGGCATAAGCACCTGCCTTGCAAGCAGGCAGTCGTGAGTTCGATCCCTGGTACCGATAAAAAGGAAAAAGGCAAAAAAAAAAAAAAAAAAAAGAGAAGGAGGGTGATCGGCCCCATGTCTCTGTCATGGCCCTCCCAGCCTGCCTGAAGGTCACTGTGGGTGTGTGAGTACAACCCCAAAGCTCTAGAATACAGGCAACCCAAAGACAGGTGGGTGACAGGCCTCTGCTCTGACCAGGCAGTGGGTGGCATTCTCTTCTCACCGTATCTTGCACTTCAAGAGAAACAGATGGTCCGATGGACTACATGTGGGCCAAGTCGCTGCACCTACACCAGGCCTAGTCTTCCTTCTGTGTGTCCCAGTGTTCTTGCTGTGTGTTTCTGTTTTTTAAAATGCCCTGAGTTCAGATTAACAACCAATCACCAAATGGATCCTGACACTGATCTACAGCCCGGTGGCTCCTGGAGGCCAGGTTCCCTCATATCCAAATCCCTCCTCAGTACTGACGGATGATTCTTTTTTCCACAATAAAAAAAAAAAAAAAAAAAAAAAACAAACCACTGAGTACTATTGCTTAGAAATACCAGAGACTGAAGTAATAGTCTGCAGTTCTCAGTAATAGAAACTAACTATTTAAATGAAAGCAAGATGTGGCTGCTGATAGCGTCCATACATACATCACACAATGCATGTGCACCGTGGCCAACCTATGGAGACAGCTTCTCACAGTGAGGCCCACAGAGTCCCACATTTGCCACATGACAGAAAAACAGGCAGAGAGGAGGAAGTGAGGGGGAGGGGAGCTCTGGTTCACTTCTGGTTCTAGAAGTGATTGGCCAAGCCGTCCAGTTCTACACAGGGCCTGTTCCTACTGGTGGCAGGAAGGTACAGGAACACACCGGTTCCTGTGGTGTAGCGTGCAGCCCTGGCTTGTCTGAATTCATCGCGTTGGGGAGGTCCTGCTTGGCAAGCAGCTGGATGGCGGCCTGCAGTTTCCCTCAGCAGTAGCCTCATGAGCTCCTCGTGAGCCTCGTTCACACCTTCTTTTTTTTTTTTTTTTTTTTTGTCTTTTTCCTTTTTACTGGTACCGGGGATCGAACTCACGACTGCCTGCTTGCAAGGCAGGCACTTATGCCGCTGAGCTAAATCCCCAGCCCCTTCACACCTTCTTTCATTGCTGTCCACCATTAAGATCAAGCCTTGGGTGTTCTAGAAGTAGCAGTGCCAGTGGCCGGACCTTGTCCTGAGCACCCAAATCCCACACGGTGAAGCTGATGTTCTTGTGTTCAGCAGTCTCCATCGTGAAACCTGTGTTGGGAATGGTGGGCGCAGTTTCACCAAGCTGTTACGAGTTGTATGTATGAATGCATACATGGATATGCATGGATTCCTGTAATACGATGTCCTTAACTCTTTTGGGAAGATGCCTAGAAAGGTACGGCTAGGTCAAATAAATTTCTAGTTTTTTTGTTTAATTTTGTTTTCATTTTTTGAGATAGGGTTTCACCATGTAGTTCAGGCTGGCCTTGAATTCACTATGTAGCCCAGGCCTCAAATTTGTGGCACTTTTCCTCCCTCAGCTTCCTACATGCTGGAATTACAGGCTTGTGCCATCATGCCCAGCCCTAGTTTTAGCTTTTGAGAAGTCTCCACATTGATCATGGTTATACTAGTTTACATTCCTACTGACAATATAGAAGTTTCCTTTTTGTTTGTTTGTTTTTGTTTTGTTTTGTTTTTGGTACCAGGGATCGAACTCACAACCTTGCACTTGCCAGGCAAGCACTTATGCCTCTTAGTTAAATCCCCAGCTAAAGCCTTTAGCTTACGTCTTCACCAGCATTTGTTATTATTATATTTCTTGATGAGAGCCATATTGGAATCTCAGTGCTGTTTTTTTTTTTTTTAACTTTTTTATCAGTACCGGCAATCGAACTCAAGACCGCCTGCTTGCAAGGCAGGTGCTTATGCCACTGAGCTAAATCTCCAGCCCCTCAGTACTGTTTTTTTTTTTTTTTTTTGTCTTTTTCATTTTTATCGGTCCCAGGGATTGAACTCATGACCGCCTGCTTGCAAGGCAGGTGCTTATGCCGCTGAGCTAAATCCCCAGCCCCTAGTGCTGTTTTAATATGCCTTTCTCCAATAGCCAGCAATGTTGAACATTTTTTCATGTATTTATTGACCATTTGTACTTGTTCTTCTGAGAAGCAGCTACTCCTGTCACCAATAGGGCTGCATTTGAACAAGGGGTTCCTGGGCCTGGTCCTTGTCCTGTTCCTTCTCTGAAGCTCCTTTACTGGGGAAAGCACGTAGCCAGGCCTGGGTAAGGAGGGGCCAGCACCTGCTCCAGCAACAGGCAGCTCTGGGGCTGGTCCCTGTCACCCTCCTTCCCCATGGCAGGCCTTCCGAACACATCGATTTGCGTCAGGTAAACTGTTTCCTCTGGGGAATGCCCTGCCTTGGGACAGGAGGGTTCTACTGTCCCCGGGTTGCCTGGCAGAGTTGTGTGTCGGGGTGCTGTGGGCAGCTGGTGTGGGTGAGGCCAGCCTCTACCTCATCCCGCCTGGTGCAGCTGCCCCTGTGAAGTGCCCAAAGCCAGTCCTGAGCACGGCTCCTTCGGGCACCCCCAGATCATTGTGGACTTAACGGTGCCTCTACAGTGCTCACCCCACGGACTTCTGTGGTCAGCTGAGTGGTACCCAGCCCCAGCAGGCCCCTATTTTCCTACCAACCCCTAGGACCCCCAGCAATGTTGGGGAGCAGGGTCAGAATGGGAGTGAGAGCAGCAATTCCATCCCTTCCCATCCCACATGAGACAGGGAGGGGAGTTACAGGCCTGGGAGGGGCGCTATTCCTGTAGCTGTCTTATGATGGGGGCAGGCGGCGTGCCCCTCCCCCATCCTGCTATCTGCCTTCCCCTGTGACTGCCAGGACTTCAGGAGGCCTTGTGCCCATGTCTTAATTCCTTTTAAGTACGAGGAAACACACTCGGAGAGATCAAGGAACCTCTTCGGCCAGCACCCCTGAGTCCCTTTTTGTTACTACGTTTTCCTAACTACACCTCACCCACAGCCTCTTCTTAGGGTCTAGTCTGGCAGCTGCGCTAGACCCTGGGAACCAGCACCCGAGAGACTCCCAGCATCAGTCACCTAGGTGTTGGGTGTCTCTCTCTGTTACCCGCAAGCCGGGACAGGGCCACCTCCCAGGACTGGGAAGGATGGAGTAGGTACTGGCCACATTCTCCAGCGGCCTCCCCCACCCCCAGGCGCTGCTGCTGTTGGGGGCCGCCGCCCTGGCCTGCCTCGCCCTGGACCTCCTCTTCCTGCTTTTTTATTCCTTCTGGCTGTGCTGCCGTCGGCGCAAGACCGATGAGCACCTGGATGCTGACTGCTGCTGCACAGCCTGGTGTGTCATCATCGCCACACTGGTTTGCAGGTGAGGCGGAGGCCAATGCAGGGTGGGGGATGTGGAGGGCAGGGCGATGGGAGGGGCCATGGGGTGGGTGGGGCCAAGGATGGTGGGGTTCCCCCACTCCCCACCCCCATCCTCACAGCCTGGTCCTCCCCAGCGCGGGCATCGCAGTGGGGTTCTATGGCAATGGGGAGACCAGCGACGGCGTCCACCGGGCCACCTACTCGCTCCGTCATGCCAACCGCACCGTGGCCGGGGTGCAGGACCGCGTGAGTGGCCGTGAGATAGGGGTGGGCTGTGCTGGCACATAGGGTTGCGTGTGGGCAGTGGCGTGCAAATAGGGCCTCAGCTCCATTGTGTCCTGGCGGCAGGTGTGGGACACAGGAATGACCCTGAACCGCACAGCAGAGCCCAGCCTACAAAGCCTGGAGCGGCAGCTGGCTGGGAAACCAGAGCCCCTGCGGGCTGTCCAGCGACTGCAGGGCCTTCTGGAGACCCTGCTGGGCTACACCGAGGCCATCCCTTTCTGGAGTAACCCGGGCGTGTCCCTGGAGATGCTGGCTGAGCAGGTGGACCTCTATGACTGGTACAGGTGCGGTCCAGTGCTTCTTCCCAGAGCACCTGAGGTAGTCCTGGCCTTCTTGGGCCCAGCCCTGATCTCAGCCTCTAGCACCCGAGGCCTCATAGGTAGAGGCAGGGTAGCTGGAGGTAGTGGCAGGAACCTGCCAGACAGACATTTTTTCCAGGAACCAATGCCTGTTCCCAAGTCTGCAGCTGCCTGTGGCTGCCTCTTCTGGGAGCCAAGCTCTTGACTGCCCCTCCTGCCCCTCTCTCTGGACCCCATCCCTATTTGTGCCTGGCCCACACCCACATGTGCCCACAGGTGGCTGGGCTATTTGGGCCTGCTGCTGCTTGACGTCATCATCTGCCTCCTGGTGCTGGTGGGCCTCATCCGCAGCTCCAAGGGCATCTTGGTCGGGTGAGTCTGGAGGAGGGGACTTCTTGTAGGACTTGTGGGAGGAACAGGTTGAGCACCTGAGATACTGTCTCCCCATCATGGGGTCTGTGTGGGACTCAGAGGCCTCCCATGGTCTGCCCGAGGTGGGTTTCTGATGGCAGAGCCTGCTCCAAGATGCCCAGTCTGGGTTGCCTCAGGAAAGTCAGGAGAGCTGGAGCCGCTTGCCTAGGTCCCCAAGTGCTGGGGAAACCAGGAGATCAGGCCGGAGCTCCTATAACCTCTGCCCGTGGACATGGAGGAGGTTTGGTTGGCTTCATTATTTACCAGGCTGGTGGCCTTAGGCAGGTGTTGTATCAGCTACCAGTCACTCCCCTTGGCCCAGAAATAGAAAGAGTGACAGCTTGCCTTTAGGGTGGCTCTGAGGTGATGTTAGTGTCCCTCCCTGAGTAATTGCATAGCCACATCCCAGCTCCTGTATGCACCTTGTGCAGGAAGGGTCCAGAGAACTCTCCAGCTCCTGCCCAGTGGCACTCCTAGGCCTAAGAGGGACAAATAAGTAAAATGAAGTTCACAGGTAATGAGAACTAGGGAAACGCAAAGCCTGGTCAGGTAGCAGGGCTGCGTGTACCTGGCATCCAGAGTTCAGGAGCGTGGGGGGGGGGGTGGAGTGGAGGCCCAGGCTTGGACAGCACACAGGCCTGCAGGTTGGGAGTGAACACAGTGTGGGAGCCAGGAGAGGTCAGTGCGGGAGGCCCAGCCCTGCAGGCAAGAGCCCACCCGCCCACGGTGCTCAGAGGGCTGCCCTTGGGGATGAAGCTTGGCAGGGCCTGGTCTGGCCGAGGCTAGCAGGACCTTCATACTGCTCTGTGAGGCAGACACTGGGACTGGGGGGGTAGCCCGTGATGGAAGATTTGCCAGCCTGCACAAGGCCTTGGGTTCCATTTCCAGCACTACAAAGAAAAAAAAAAAGAGAGAGAAGGAAAGCAGACTCATCTGCTAAAGAAAAGGCTCTGGTGACAGGCTTAGCGACAGGAAAGGCAAAGCCCAGGAAACCTCCTGTTCTTTAGTCAAGGTGGAAGGGGAACCTGTCCAGGCCCTGGGCCTTGAGAGGGCCTGGTCTCAGCCAGAGGTCATGTCCTCAGGTGTACCTGGGTTTTGCCCTCCATCCATAGCCCAGTGAGTGGCATGACCTAGTGCCCAGCCTGGGAGATGCTGACTGATTTTCTTTGTCCCAAGGGTCTGCTTGCTGGGAGTGTTGGCCCTGGTCATCAGCTGGGGTGCCCTGGGTTTGGAGCTAGCTGTATCTGTGGTGAGTGGTGGAAGACCAGCAGTCCCCATCTGCTGAGCCTGGGTGGGAGGTGAAGGAAGCCAGTCTGTCCTCTCCCACCTTGTGCCAGGTCACTGGGTCCTTATCTGTACCCCCTTATCTGTACACAGCATATCTGTACTCCCAACCCCCAGAGATTCATACTCCACCTTCTTGAGCCAAAAGTGAACCCTGGGGTTGGTTCTACCCACTGAGGGCCCAGGGTACCATCTCAGGGGAGGCCCAGCTAACTCCCTTTCTTGCCTGTGCCCACTCAGGGTTCCAGCGACTTCTGTGTGGACCCTGACACCTACGTGACCAAGATGGTGGAAGAGCACTCGGTGCTAAATGGGGGTGAGTCCGTGGCCCTGTCAGAGTTGGTCCCCTGGCTGGACTGAACTGGGAGAGCCAGGTGAACAGGGCTGGTGTGTGCGGGGAAGTGTCCCTGCCTTCATAGCACTCGGTCTTGGAGTAGCTGATGCTAGGCCGGGAAGCTAGGGAGCCAACAGGACTACCTTGGCCACCTTCCCCGAGCTGGGAGCCCAGTGCTGCTTGAGAGTGGGCGGTCTGGGAATGGAAGGCCTCTAACAGGTGGCACTGAGTTGAGCCAGATGAGGCTGTATCTTGTGCAAAGGCCAGAGGCACAAATACTAGACAGCCCTGGACTTCCTGGGAGAGGAGAGGGTAGAGAGAGGCTAGCAGGGCCAGGCCACAGGTAGGAGACTGGGCTTTATTCTGGAAGGGCGGAAGAGAGATGTGAGTCATGACGGAGTAGCCTCTTAAAAGCTTCTTCGGGCTCTTGGGGTCTAAGGACCTGGGGCATGGCTTTTGGACTCCTGAAGACAGGAGTGGCTTGAATAAGTAGGATGGGGCATGGACAGGGGTGCACTTTGGGGGTGAGGCTGGTGGGACTTCCTGATGAGCTGCACAGTTCTACGTCTGGTCTGACAGGCTCTGAGTTCCTGGATGCTCAGATTGGGAGCACAGATCCCAGGGCTGAGTGCAGGTGCTGTCACTACACCAGCCCCAGTCCACATAGGTGGGGGCCCTGAAGGATCTCTCTGGAGGCCACAGCTCACACACGTGTGTGTATACAATCACATATATACATGTGTGCACATGCATACATGTGTGTGCACACATTTGCACCACACACAGATGTGCACACAGACATAGCACCCAAGTATACACATGTGGACACATGCAGGCACACACTTGAAAACATGTGCACACAGACACCTTACACAGACTCGCAGGGTCTGCTGCCTCAGCCCACCTTGCCCTCTCTCCGCAGACATTCTGCAGTACTACCTGGCCTGCTCGCCCTATGCTGCCAACCCCTTCCAGCAGGTGAGAGCCAGCCCTGCCCTGAGAGGCCGGGCCAGGACAGGGGTGGGGAGAGCCCAGGGCACAGTATCTGTGGAGAGGCTGAGCAGACCCTGTTCTGGCCTTTGTAGCCCACACATCCACGGCCCACAGGCTCCACAGAGGCAGAGCAGAGCAGCCAGGTGAATGCTGGGTTGGCTTCACTTGCTGGCCTGGAACTGCCACACTGTCCCCCTGGCACAAACCTTTTCTTGTGAGCTGCTTAATGCCACCACTGCCCTGGACTCCTTTCACTCCGTGGGCTGTCCAGGGCAACCCCTAGGGGGCAGGGGGCAGACTGTCCATTGGGCAAGTGTGGGAGAAACCTTGGGGACACCTTTACAGAATACTGTCCATTTGGGTATCCTGGCGGTGAGATTTGGGGGTGAGCACCACTGCTCAAACCCTTTCCCTGCTGCCAGTCACTGTACAGGATGGCACGTCTCTCAGTCCTGAGCGCTGTCGGCCTCAGGACTTTGTTCTCTAGAGTGGGCACAGGGTTCCCATCACCGTGTTGGGCTGTTTGGCCCCTGGGTGTGTAGGCAGCTGGAGAGCAGGGTGAGTCCGGGAGCCTGAGGGCAGAGCTGGTCACCGGGGACTTTGCAGGCTGCCTGGGGTGGGTGGGGAGGATGGGCTGTCCAGCTACTGGAACTTACGTCTCTCTGTGGAGCAGAAGCTGTCAGGCAGCCACAAGGCACTGGTGGAGATGCAGGACATTGTGGCCGAGCTTCTGAGGAACGTCCCCCGGGAGCATCCTGCCACCAAGGTGAGGGGCTACAGAGCCCAAGGGGGGTTCTGGGGGAGTCTGGGAGTCCTGTTTCCTACACCTGTTCAAATGGTCTTTTTTCCTCTTCTCCTTCCATTTTTCTTCTCCCTTGGAGATTTTTTGATAGAATTAAAAAAATAATTATGTTCTTTATTTTTTCAAAGTAATAGAAACTCTTTCTGTTAAAAGAAATGAGGACTAGGGACATAGCTCAGTGGTAGAGCACCTGCCCACCATGTGTAAGGCCACACCCCAGCACTATAAAAGGATGCTGGGCTGACATTTGTACCTCACATTCCCAGAGGTTAGGCTGCAAGCCCAGGGTCAAGGTGTGGCTGGGCCAATCCTGCTGGAGGCTGCCTTCCTTGGCTTATAGATCCTGTCTTCTCCCCAAGTCCTCATGGGGTCATTCCTCTCTGTGTGTCTTTATGACACCGGGCATAGTGGACCAGGGCCTAATCCCCGGTGACCTCACTGTCTAATGCCCTTTCTCTAAGCACAGCGATCTGAGGTTCTGGGTGGGACCTCAGCACAGGAGTTTTAGGGGACACAATGCAGCCCATAACAGTAGGTTCTCTTTTCTCAGGATCCCAGCGGGTCCCTAGAGAAAGTGTTACAGCTGCAGTCCCGGCACTCAGGTTGAAGCAGAATGAGCACAAATTCAAGCCCAGCCTGGGCAACTTAGTGACTTAGCAAGACCTCATCTCAAAATAAACAAAGCCATGGGGATGTAGCTCAGTGCAAAGGCCCTGGGTTCAATCCCCAGTACCACAAAAAGAAAAAAAGAAGGGAAGAAAATATGTGACAGGAAGCAGTGCAGGGTCAAGTTGGTGATCTGGAGGAGCCACAGTCCACCTGCAGGTGTTTCTGCATGGCCCCCGTGCAAATGTCAGCCCAGCATCCTTTTATAGTGCTGGGGTGTGGCCTTACACATGGTGGGCAGGTGCTCTACCACTGAGCTATGTCCCTAGTCCTCATTTCTTTTAACAGAAAGAGTTTCTATTACTGTTACTGTTACTGCATGGCCCCGTTTCTATTACTTACATGTCCCCCGTGTGTGGGACAGGGCTGGAGGTGTCTGTGCATGTGTGCACATAGAACACATGGGATGCTGTCATGGGTGTGTAACAGAGTCAGGCTGTCTCTGTGCAGTTTTTTGTACAGTTTTGTCACTTAAGGTAGTGTGAGGACTTTCCTTTGTCTTCCACTGTTCCTTAACTAGGACTTTACCTTTTAGCACTGGAGGCTGAACCCAGAGCCTTTGCACTGAGCTGGATCCACAGTCATTTTGGTTTTCAAGACAGCTTCTTGCTAAGTTGCCCACACTAGGCTTGAACATGCAATCTTTCTGCCTCAGCATCCCAAGTAGCTGGGATCACAGACGAGTGTCACGAGGCTTGGCTACTTGAAATTGGATTTTTCAAAGCATAACCTGTCCTCTTCGGTGGCATGCAGTAGCTGTCTGTTCCCTAATGATAAGGGAGATCTGTGTTCACATAGTAATGACATTGGACAAGTACCCATATGTCGCCTGTGCCTGCAAGTCCAGGGCAGACTCCAAGATCACACGTGCTAAAAGCTGGGGTCCTCAGGGCCTGTGCCAAGGTGGAGTGGTCAAAGGTGGTTTCTGGGGCAGGTTGGGAGGCTCTCAGCCTGGGTCTCCGCATAGTGCAGTGTTGACCTTGAGTTTCACTTGCTCCCAGGACCCCCTGCTCCGTGTCCAGGAGGTGCTGAACGGCACGGAAGTGAATCTGCAGCACCTCACCGCCCTGGTAGACTGCCGCAGCCTGCACCTGGTGAGGGCCACAGCGGGCAGAGGGTGCCGAGGAGGTCAGGAGTCAGGGAGGCCTTGTGGGGTGGAGGGGAACTGTGGGGCAGGGAAGAGGTCAGGGGAGCTGGGAGCTAAGGGTAGAGGGGAGCTGTGGAGAGGGCAGGAGTGGCCCTTGAGAACAGCAGACTCAGTAGGTGATGGGGGCCTCAGCCCAGCCTGGCATCAGGGCATCCAGGCTGCTATAGCTGAAGCTTGCCTGGCCCGTCCATCTCACACTTTCTGCCCTTGACTCTGTGTCCCTGTTCCCTCTCCCTGTGTCTCATCTCTGCTGGCTCAGGACTACGTGCAGGCACTGACGGGCTTCTGCTATGACGGCATCGAGGGCCTCATCTACCTGGCGCTGTTCTCCTTCGTCACGGCCCTCATGTTCAGTTCCATCGTCTGCAGCGTCCCACACACCTGGCAGCAGAAGAGGTGAGCCTGAGCAGGTCCTGAAATGTGGCCCCGCTGTCTTTGGGACGGGGTCCTGGAGACTCCAGCTCATGGCCCCAGAGGTGCAGGTCTCTGCTCCAGCTGAGTGCTCCCATTCCACAGAGGAGCTCAGCCAAGGAGGGGCACCAGAGTCTCCTGTGCCCTTGGCTTGGCCCTGTTCCCCTATGCTGAGGAGCGTGCTCACAGGTCACCATTCCTAAAGGCCAGGTCCTCGGGTGCAGGGGTACATAATGGTGGGTGGGTCCCGGCTATGTGACCTCCTGAAGGGGCAGTTCAGGTGGCTGTGGCCTCTGCTGGGCAACCAGGATCGGCCAGATGGAGCTCCCATGGAGCCACTCTGTCTGTATCTTTGAGGTGGGGTTCCTGGCAGCCCCTGCCTCAGGTTCCTCATTTAATCCTGGGTTGAGTGGGGTGGAGGGCGTCGAGCTCCTTCCCTTACAGAAGCCCCGTGGTCCATCTCCCAGACCTGCTGCCTCTCCTCCCATTTGGGCTGCGGCTGCTTCTTGATGCCCAGCTTGGATGGCAGGTAGCTCAGATCTGATTTATTCCCTTTGCCTGGATTTCTGTTGTTTTCTCTTGTGATGATGACGATGTTGCTGGTGGTGATAGACATTGGTGGCTGTGGTGAGGGTGAAGGTGGTGATGATAGTGGTGGTGACAGTGATGGTCAGTGGTGGTGATGATGGTGTTCATCATGGTGATGGTGAAGGGGTGACAATGACAGTGATGCTGCGGCAGTGATAATTATGGTGGTGTGGTAGTGCTGGTGGTGATGGAGGCTGTGGTAATAAAGATAGCAGCTCTGGTGGAATGGCTAAGAGCACAGCACTTGAACCGGATGGCTGTTTTCAGATCCTAAGTCCATCTTTGGAGTTATCATGGACAAGTTTTGGGACTCTTAACTATCCTGTGCCTCAGTGTCCCTTGCAGTGAAAAAGGAGTTGTAGAAAGACACGCTTTGAGAGTCAGGTGGTGCCAGATGAGCCACAGTGGTTGTGGGCCGTGCCCTGGGCTTAGCTGGTGGTCACCGCTCAGCAGCAGCTGCCTCTGTCTCTCTCTGGAACTGCTCACCATCCAGCAGCACAATGCTGCGTCCCATCTTGGGTGGACAGGCCACACAGGAGCTCCATAACAGCAGAGGTCTGGCCCAAGCACCCTGGCTCACCCTACAACCACTGTAGAATTCAGGGCAGAAAGCTGGATGGCATCGAGGCAGGGAATGCCAGCTCAGGCCACCCAGTGGTGCAGATTGGCCCTGTGGCCAAAAGACAGTACCCAGCCTTCTGTGCTCCCCAGGAGGGGACTGCACCCTTCTTTTAATAAGCAGACAGCCGTTGTTGACCTGTGCAGGCTACAGACAGTCTGGCTTGCAGGTGACTATGTGGTTTCTTAGTACCCAACCTCAGAGGAGGCTGAGGTAGAGGCTCGCACCTGGGTGACCAGGTGCAGTCCATCATGTGCACATGGCCCAGCAGAACTGGAGCCTTTGGGCCTTATGCCGGTTCCCTTGTGCAGTCCTGAGTGTCACATGACCCTTCCTGCAGGAGCCCTGATGAGGATGGAGAAGAGGAGGCTGCCCCAGGGCCGCGGCAGGCACATGACAGCCTTTACCGTGTGCACATGCCCAGTTTGTACAGTTGCGGCAGCAGCTATGGCAGCGAGACCAGCATCCCAGCTGCGGCACACACAGTCAGCAACGCCCCAGTCACCGAGTACATGTGAGTCACAAACAGCAGGATGGGGTCAGCATCGAGAGACAGGCAGAGCCACGGTTTGCTGGTTCTGGGAGCCATGGGCAGAGATCGGCAGCTGCACCAATCCAGCCTGGGGCTCCCTAGACAGAGGGGAGTGTGGTGGTACAGGATGGGCCCACAGGAGGGAAAGGGGGCTACATCACAGACAGCCCCCAGACTTCAGGGAGCAGCCCGGATTGAGAACCTCCTACCCCTGGGTGAACCTGGTGGAGGGGCAGTGAGGGGCCACATGGTCAGGTGGAGAGCCTGGCTACATGGTGGGAGGTGAGCTCTGGCTAGGAATAGGTGACCAGTGGGGGACAGGTAGGTGGCAGGTAAGAACACCCTGTGGAGGTCAGCATTGAAGATGGGTGCCAGGCAGAGGGCTAGGCACAGGGTCTGCCTGGATCAGAGGTGAGCCCTCTCAACAGACCTGGGGCCACTGTGCTTATAGCCTCTTTCCTCCTCAGGAGCCAGAATGCCAATTTCCAGAATCCCCGCTGTGAGAACACTCCTCTCATTGGACGTGAATCCCCACCACCCTCAGTAAGTCTCGGGAGGAGGACAGGGGTGGGAGGGACCCTTGGCCTCCAGGGGCTGCGCTGTCCACCACTTTCATGACGTGGTGTGACTCTCGTGGGCAGCATGGGCTCTGGGGTGGCTGTGAACCTCTAGTGCTGTGAGGGTGCTTCCTAGCCAGGGCCTCTCTAGTATGACAGTCTGTAGGTGCCCTGAGGTCAGTGGGCAGTCGTGGCCAGTCTTGGGTAGAAGGGTGTGACTTCCACTTTTCACTGTGGCGCCTGGCACACTCTCCCCTCCTCCCAGGACCAGCCTTTCCTCCTTTCTTTCCTTCCTCCTCTTCTTCCGAAGCCTCCACCTGTGTCTCAGTCTTTGGTTCTTCCAGCCTGGGCCTGGTGTCCCCTCTGGCCTCGGGGGTGAGATACGGACAAGCATGGACAGGATGGGCTTGCCATCAGAGAGGAGCTGGTGCCAAGCTATAGGCCGGCTGCCTGGAGGGGCTGGGCCACAGGGACAGGCCACGAGGCGGAGGCTGCCTTACTTGAGAACTCCCACCACTGTCCTGCCGTCCCATAGCAGAGTTGGGCCTGGGCTGCCAGGCCAATCCCGAGCTGTTGACCCCTAGGCCCAACTGGCTCCATAGCCCACTTGGGGCTGGCCACGCCCTGGCGTTGAGGACACCCCTCTCTCTCTCTCTCTCCTGCACCCCTCCCACCCTGGGCCCTCCTAGCGCTATCTGGCTGCCCTGGACTCTGGCAGCCATGCAGGTTGGCAGTTTAAGCCCTTGGACAGTGCCCGAACGCTGTGGTAGCTGTGCCCTCAGAGTGACAGGTACTGACCCGGCCGGTCCCCACCCCGCACGGCACTCGCCTGCGCCTCCATGCCTCCTCCTGCCCTCCACCAGTGCTGACCTCGGGCCCTGTCCGGTGCCATTCGGGGTGCACAGCCCAGCCATAGGGGCCTCTGACTGGCCCTCGGTCCGCCTGTCTCACAGCAGGGGCAGCCAGCCTGATCCCACTTCCCCATCCTCTAAAGACCCTGCCACCAGCACAAGGGGCTTGTCACCTCTCAGTGAGGGAACCATGCACCCAGGCACTTGCCTATGTGCCTGGCCCCCATTTCGGCCCTGCATGTCACCTGGCAAAAGTGTGGCCTCACTGTCCCATGTGGCAGTACAGGCACATGCAGGGGCTCCTCTAGGGTCTGGCTGTCCCCCTGCCATACCTGCTGCATGTCCATGGAATGACATGGCTCCTAGTGCTGCTGCTCCTCCTGCCCACTCCATGGCCACCTCACGGCTGTTCACAACCTTCTAGCCATTCTGGGACGGCCTTGAGGAACCCCAGAAACACTGTCCCTCTGGATCTGGGGGCTATGGGGACCAGCGTGGGATCCCTGGGTTTGCAGGAGCCTAAGCTGAGACCAGCAGGATCAGCCTGCCAGGCCTCTGTGCCACTGACAACCTCTGGCACAGCCTTGGCCTTTGCCCTCGTCATGGGCATGTGAGCCATTTGCACACTGCCTGACCTTCACACCTGCTTTGTCTGTGTGCTCCCCATGAGCACTCAGACACCCCACTTTCTTGCACACAAATGCACTGCTCAAAGCCTTCATACTTACGGTTGAGGGTGGCAAAAAGGTACAGGCCACCTGCAGGGCCAGTTGGGGTGGGGTCACCCCACCTGTCACTTGCTCCTGAATATGAGACCTAGAATGACCCTGCAGGTAGTCCCCTACCTGACCCAAGCAGGTGGGAGTGTCACTGCAGTGAGGGATGATGGGGCAGGAGGCTATGGCAGGGCAGGAGGCCAGAGTGACCTCACTCCTATGAGCAGTTTGGTTGTGACTTGTGGCATGGCCTGGCCTCCAGAGGACCCAGCCCGGTTTTAGATAGAGCTTTAGGTAAAGGCCTGGGCCTTAGCCCACTGGCGCGCAGCCTGCACGTGGCTTCCAGGTTCTGAGCATGTGGGGTGTAGTTAAGGCTCTCAGGGTTGTTAGGCTCTGACGGATCCCCAAATGCCAGCAAAGGGGAGCAGAAGAAACTGAATATGCTCATCTGATTGAGAAGGGGTTCAGTCCCCTGCTCTAGGGTGCAGAGTTGAAGCCCATTTCTGCCCTCTAGGGGCCACTGCCTCCCTCCGCTGCACTCAGAGCCTGGACCGTGGCCTCTTCCCCAGTCCCCTCCCTGTGGGGCTCTGTCAGCTGCGTCCTGCACTGTCTTACTCTGCCTGTTAAAGGCTGGCTTTGGCTCACTCCACCAAGGACCACACTGAAGAGGCCCCTGGCCAGCCTGGCCCTGCCTGGTACCTGCTGACCCACCTTCCCTCTCTCCTGCAGTATTCCTCCAGCATGAGAGCCAAATACCTCGCCACGAGCCAGCCTCGCCCTGACTCCAGCGGCAGTGGGCACTAGACCGCGCACCGACCAGCCACCTTCCCCATGTGCCAATCACCTCCCCCACCCCCAGGCCAGCACTGCTGCTTCCACCCCGCGGCTGCCTGCTGGACCCTCCAAGCGCCAGCCTGGTCCCTCTGCGGTCCCTTGCCCCTCCACTCCCCATGCAGGGGCATGTAGATTCCCACCCCAGCCCGGTCATACATCTGGACAGACACTGCTGCCATCCTGGCCTTGCCTGGCCATCTGCTCTCCACGTCTCACTGTCCCCTCAGACTCACCAAGCCCCACGCTGTGCCAGGAGCTCCTGTCCCGATACACTCCCTCTGCAGATGGTGCACCTGACTGCCGCCCTCTTCAGCTGGGTCTCTCCCGCCCTCCTTCCCTTCCAGTGCTGAGCTCTTCCTGCTCCCACCCCCAGGCTTCTGTGGATCACTTCTTAGTTTACAGGCAGAGCAGCAGCCCCTCTGCCTGGGTCGCTGGCCACAGAGGGACAGATGGTCTCCATACAGGAACCCTCCACGCACCTGTCTCTCTACAGCATCTGGCACCAGCCCTGTCATCCAGGCAGCTGCCCTGACCACAGCCTCACCTCCTGCCATCGCCTAGAGCCTCTCGCCAAGGAGGGCTTATGTTCTGCCTCCTGCCCAGCATTGCTTTGTCCCCCAGCGCTCACCCTCCCCAAGGCACCCAGCCCACCATGGACAGCAGGTGCTACACAGAGCCTGCATCACTCACTGGCCTCCCAGTGCTGGCCACCTTCTTGGTGCCAAACCCCCCTTTCCCCCAACCCCAAAGACTTGGCAGCTTCATCCGGTTTGTTTTTTGCACTAACCACGTTTGTCATCTCTAGGGCAGGCTGGGGCGGCAGCTGAGCAGAACCGCTGCCCCAGTCCTCCCTCGGTTCCATTTCCACCCAGGGCAGAGGCAGTGTCCCTGGAGCCCAGCCTCAGGGGCTGGACTGAGCCAGCTGTGAATGTGCACCCAGCCTCTGCTGCCCTTCTTGGGACTAACCACTAACCTCACTCCCAGCCTCCATGGTGCCCCTGGCCAACCCAGAGCCAGCAAGTGTGACCCAAGTCCAGCCTGGAGCCAAGGCTGGGTGGCCAGCTGGATCCAGGGCTGGAGTAGCAGTTTCTTCATGGGGTGCTGCTGGGGACAGGCTGCAGATGGACGCGCAGCCCAGAGGGCCTGGAGACCCCGACCTTCCCCAGGCAGGTGCCACCTAGGAGGACCACATCCCCAGGGTCTTGGGCTCAGGTTGCCATGACTTCGGTCTCCCTCCCTGTGAAGTGGGAACAAGGCTTCCCGATGGTGCTTTTGGCTTTGGTGTACGATGTTTGCTGTGCTTCCTGCCACTGGGGGGTATAGAACAAGCCCCCAAATTAGGACCTTGAGGTTCTGCCTCTTTTGGCCTCAGCTCTGGCCCAGCCAGTCGACATGGTGTGGTCTGTTTCAGGCTCTGGCCCCATGCCAAGGCCAGGGTGGCCAGAGGCCATTGGCCGGTGTGGCAGGGCCAAACAGACCTGCGGCTCTCCCTCCTCGAGCAGCAGACAGCTGCCTGCCCAGAATCACCCTCCCCTCCTGGGGTGACCGTCAGCCTGCCCGTCCTCCAAACCCCTTCTTTATGCTGGTGTTGGGACCAAAAGGGGATGGGCAGGGCGGTGGCAAACCCTGGGCCTCCAGCCTCTGTGTTTGAGCCCCTCAGTGTGATCAAACCTCAGCAGAAGGGACTGTCCTGCTCCAGGTGGGGGCCATGGAGGCCGGCCACAGCCAGCCTGCTCGGCCTGCTGCTGGCGTGTTCCCGGCCTTGGGGCTGGAGGGCAGTGCCTGCCGTGTGCTCCGGGACCTGCTCAGAAGCACAAGCGCTGCCAGTGGCCAAGAGCCACCCACAAGGTGAATGTACATAGCATGAGAGGTGGGCGCTGCCCGGATGTGGCCGTGAACCTGTTATCTCGGGAGTCCTGCCATTGTGTGCGTGCGTGCGTGCGTGTGTGCGTGTGTGTATGTTTGCGCACGCACATGTGCGTGCTCTGTCTGTGATTCTTCATCCACCGAGGCTGAAGAAAGGAAAGGGGAAATCAAGAGGGGTTTACACCCCAATCTCAGCAGCTCATGCCCTTGGTTTTCTTTCTGTTCTGAGTTTGGTGCCCCTTCCTGACCACCCTATCCAACCACATCACCACACCTCCTAAGATGTCAGGCCAGGCTGCCACTCCCACCCTGCCCTCCTGGGCTCTGGAACATGGGCGAGGCTTGACTCTGGAGAGTAGGCGGCCATGGGGGCTTGGCCACTGCCTGACCCCAGGGCCCTGCCAGGCCCTCGGGAGGGTCCTCCTGGGGCAAGGGACATAGTGATGGGGTTCCCCTGCTGGCATCCAGCACCAGCCCTCCAAAGCGAGGTGAGGTTGGGTAGTGGGAGGGCCTGGCTGGGAGCACCCCAACCCTTCTTCCTGACACCCACCCCATCTCACTATGCAATTCCAGATCCCTACCATTGCCCCCCTACCCAGGTTCTAGCTCTGCCCAGCCCGGAGGGGGGTCAGTTGGTAGCCCCTGGGCCCTAGTGATCAGGGCCTTTTGTGTGAGAATCTATGTTTAGCCACAATGCTTGCGCTCCTCCCCTATTTGTTACATATATGATTTTGTTAAGCACCCCCACCCCTCGCATCTTGCCCCGAGTGCATTAACACCCGAGCTGCACCGGGCCCGCACCCCTCAGCCTCTGTAGGTCTATGGCTGTGTCCTGTCGCTGTGTTTTTTGTTTTCTAAAACTGGGTTTTGGGTTTGATCTTTATTTCTTTGGGGACTTTATTTTTCTTGGCAAATACTAAAAATCTTGTCAATGTAATTTCTGTGGTTTCTATTCAGCTTGGGTTTCATGTTTTAAAATAAACATTTTAAAGAACAGGTGACTTCTGGGTTTGTCAGGAAGGTCTCTCGCTCTAGGCCACTTGTAGGGTGAGGCAGGGGACTCAGCTGGGTGGGGACAGACCAACAGGACTGAGGAGTCAGGGAGAAGACCTGATGAGCCCCAGGAAGGCACCAGGCCTGGGTGAGGGCTGTGGCCTCAGTGAAGATGGTGGGTCCCTGGGTAGATGGGGCCTTGCAGGCCTGCAGCTGGCCCCAGGGGTTGCAGTGGGCATGGCGGTGTGGTCATAGATCTGGAGAGCCTGGCTTTCCAGTCTTACCCCCTGGTGTAGGATGGGGAGGGACTGCTGGGAGGCTGTGAGAGGCCCCTAGCAAAGGTGACTGCCCTGACACAGCACAGGCTTGGTGGAAGAGCTGAGGACCAGGATGGAGCCCGGGGAAGTCCACTAGTCTCTTCATCCTTCCAGAAGCAGCACCTGCACTGCAATGAGTCCTCCACCGCTGTGGGGAGAATGGCTAAGAAAAGCAGGTTCCAGCGCATGAGGCAGCTGCTCCCCAGGCCATGCAGTAGACAGTCCTGCAGGTGGCAGCACCTACTGCCCAGGGAGACATCAGATCCATGAAGGTAGGGCCTTTGGCCATCAGTGTTTGGAGCCTTGGAAGACACCTGGGCCCTGGCTCCCAGCTTGGGCTCATGTGGACACCAAGAGATCACCAACAGCCTTCACCAGAACTTTTAAGATTTACTGTGCAGCTGGGTGTGACGGTGCACACCTGTAATCCCAGGACTCAGAGGCTGAGGCAGGAGGATCACAGATTAAACTCCAGCCAAGGCAACTTAGTGATTTAGTGAGACTCTGTCTCAAAATTTTAAAAAAAGTTAAAAATAACAAAAAAGAAACTTGGTATGTGGCTCAGGGCAGAGGTACTGAGTTCAGTCCCCTGGATCAGAGGAAAAACAAAACATCCTGGTACCTAGTAAGAGGTGGTCTGCTCACCCCAAAGGTGTTAGGCTTGGCACTGTTCTGGGTGCCCTGTGTAGCAGTGGAGCACAGCTCTGCCCCACTGATACTCCAGTGGGAGCAGAAAATAGTCAGAAGGTGACAGAACCGGTGTGAAAGCATAAGTGCTGCAGGACAAAGAGCCCTGGCTCTTTGGGGCAGGCAGGGCAGGCGAGCTTTTGACAGTCAGGGAAGCCTCCCTGTACCTGCAGGGGTCCCAAAGAGACTGGAGGTCAGGGCTCCCGTGAAGCCCCACTGCTGCTGCTACAGCTCACTACGAACTCAGCTGGTTTAAAGCAGCTGTATTACCATACAGTTCTGGAGGTCAGAAGCTCCTCTGAGCTCTGACTCAAGGTGTTCATAGGGCTGTGTTGCCTTTCCTGGGGCCTCCAGGAGAAAAAGCCTAGGGAGGTGGCCTCCTGCCCTTTCCAGCTTCCAGAGGTGCCCACATTCCTTGGCCCTGAGCCTTTGCCTCCGTCCTCAAAGTCAGCAGCATATACCCTGGATGTGTCATTCTGACAATGCCCATCCTCTCTTGCCTTCCTCTTTTGGTGCAGGCTCCTTGTGGTTCCATCCAGCCTACCTGATTAATCTACAGTAATCTCAACATTCCTTTTGGCATATAAGGTCACATAATCACAAGTTTCTAGAATAGGATATGAATATGTTTGGGGGCTATTCTCTCCACCATGGAAACATGCCTTAGGGTTATGTGAGCAAACGGTTCCAGGCAGGTAGGGCAGCCAGGACAAAGGCCCTGAAGGCAGAGCCTGCTGAGGTGCTTTGACTCAAATAGAAATGGCTGAATAGGAGAGTGAGAGGGAGAGTGGCTGGAGTTGGAGGATTACAAAGAGCTTGTGGGTCTTGTGAGGACTTTGACATTTATCTTGAGGGAGCTATGGCAGGTCTGAGCAGAGTGATGTCCATTTTAACAAGATCATCCTGGCTGCTGAGGGGGAAGGGGACAAAGCAGAAGCCGCTGACCAGTTAGGAGGCTCCTGCCATGGTGCAGGTCAGAGCTGACGGGAGCAGGGCTGGGGCAGAGCTGGGAGTGACAATCAGGGGCTGGATTCTGGAAGGAAGGTATGCTAACAGCTCTTCCTGGCAGGGCAGCTAAGGAGGTGGGGTTTGGGTCAAGCAGTTGGGGCAGGATTGTCATAAACTGAGGGCACGGGTTTGACAGCAGGCCAGAGGTCCAGCTGTGCCCATACTGAGTCAGAGGTCTTCTGACATCAGCATGCAGGGATGAGGGCTCAGGGAAGAGCCCTGTTGGTGTCTGGAGGAAGCTCGGGTGCAGGAGTGCTGGGTGCCATGTGAGGACAGCACGTCAAGGGGAATGAAGCACACGTCAAATGAGACTGATGGTCAGCGCTGGCAGATTCAGTGACCTGGATGCTGAGTGGTCCCAGACAGGGCTGACGAAGCCCAACATTGGGTGCTGGGTAGCAGCTGGGGAGAGGAGCAACTGGAAGACAGAGGCAACCAGCCTTCTGAGGAAGTGAGCTACAAAGCAGAGAAACAGTGATGCTGTTTGTGGGGCAGGGCAGAGAGGGGCTGTGTGTGTGCGTGCGTGCGTGTGTGGGTGTGTGTGTGAAGGTGGGAGATGAGTGCTCACTGGTAGGGCTGATGGGGCCCGCCCAGCACAGAAAAGAAAGCGACTGTCCGGGAGCAGGGGAAAAGTAATTGGTAAACTATTTTTTCCCCAGCACTGTGGTTTGACCTCAGGACCTTTACACTGAGCTACTTCCGCAGCCCCTCGCACCCCATCCACTTCTGACACAAGGTCTTGCTAAATCGCCCAGGCTTTTCAATCCTTCCACTTCACCTGGAAGTGGTGGCCCTGCTCCTGTCACCTGCTGGGATTATACGTGTGTGGCACCCACCCGACCAGGATTTCTTCAGGAGTCAAGGAGGGCTGGGAGCCAGGGGAGGCCTGGCTACAGACACATGTGACCATCCCTGGCATGGGGGCTGGGCGGTGGGTTGGCACAGGCCGGTGAAATAGGCAGCAAGGTGGTCAGAGACTGGAGAGGGGGTAGGCGTGCAGGAGAGGGGTTGGGAAGCACTACTGAGGGCCCCTCAATAGTGAGGTCCAGAGTCTGGAACAAAATGAGACTAGCCGGGGGCAGTAGTCATTTTTCTCCAGTCACATGGAGCCCCTAGAGCAGGCGGCCGGCTCCTGTGACCAGGTCCCGGGTGCTAGCCTGGCCCACAGGAGAGAAAAGCAGCAATGGGAGTGGAAGGTGAGCTCAAGCCTGCAGTGCCTGAGATTTCAGCCAGGCAAGAACAAACCGTGGCAGGGGTGATGGGAGTGAAAGACTCCTTAAGGTCAGGGAACACCTGGAGGGCTGGCCAGCAGGTGGAGGCAGAGCAGATGGGGCGGCAGGGAGGGCGGAGGCTGTGGGGGCGGGGTGGAAGGGGGAGAGCGGCTACGCCAGGACTCAAGGCTGGATGGGACAAGGTGTGCAGGAGCCAGGAGCCAGGAGCCAGGAGCCAGGACTTGAAATCCCTGAGCAAGGAGCCTGTGAATACTCGAGGGGAGCAGGGATTGAAAACCGGAGAGGTGCAGGGACCGGCAGGTGCCAGCAGGGGGCGCTGGGTCCTCGGCAGCAATTGGCAGCGGGGGTGGGAGAACTCCACCGGGTCCCAGCCCTGGAGTCCGGCGATCAGCATCCCCACAGGGACCCAGAGGTGCTGTGCCGCTCAGCTGGCAGGCAGCCTGCTGGAGAGGAGGGCACGGTCCCCCTGTGAGGACGCTGTCAGGCACCTCTGGTTTAAGACTGCAGGAAGAATCGGGCTCCCTGGGGCCGCTGGTTCTGCTCCAAGGCTAAGCACTCCCCATTCCGCATGGCAGATGCAGGTAAATATGCTCCGTGTCATTGAAACGGTGTGCAGTGGCTATGAAGAGCAAGCGCAAGCTTGGTCACTTCTTTCCTCCCCTTGGCCTGCACACCTAGGTCCAGGCCAGTCTCAGAAATGGCAGGATTCAGACGGGAGATGCCATTGTTGCCGCCAGACGGCGCCCAAGGACTGTGACTGGTTGTAGTGCGAGTGTAGAGGCTGGAAACTGGTGCTAAGACTACGTGGGGGGGAACAGCTACAGCTCTGGGCCCCCTTTATTCTGGGCAACCTCTAGGGGTCCAGGTGAGGGGACTCCTGGACCCTGAGTCCCTCCTGAGAATGCCTCAAGTGCCTTCTGGGGAGCTTGGTGCTGGGCTCAGAAAGTAGACTTAGGAGGGTCACCTCCAAGAATGCCCAGTAAGGCTGGTCTGGGGTGGCAGATGGTCCTCTGGGTGGCAGGGGTCTAGCCACTTTGTCTCACTCACAGGGGCAGGGTCTAGGTCTGGACCCCTGCTTCCCTCTGACAGGTCCAGAGAAGGGGCTTGGAGAAGCCACCCAGCAGGCCTGGTCTGCCTCCTGCTTGCTACTTGGAGTGGAGGAGGTGCGGCAGGAGGACCTGGGATCCCGGCTCCACTGCCATCCTGCCTCCCAGCCTTCCAGGCCTCCAGCCAGTGCCCCCGCTACACCTTTCCCTGGTCCATGCCAAGGGGAATGCCCAGCTCTCCCCACTTCACAAAGCCTTCCCACTGCAGCCAAGAGATGCGTTCTCAAGGATGTCAGCTTTGGGGACCACAAGGGGAGTCTGTGTACCCCAGACTGCAGGCCACGGCACACACCCCTCCCACCCACCTCACCTGGAAAGTGGAAGCTGAGGTTGGAGGCTGTCTTTCCCCCTCCTTGAGGACCCAGCAACCTGTAGTTTTACTTTCCAGTTTCACAAATGATGGGCAGTTTTGGAAGGAGCCAGCCAGGACTCCTGACTGGCCCCAGCCTGGGATGCTAGTGTGTGTGGGGGTGGGGGAGCCATCCTGGGAACCTGCACTGAGGGTCTGGCAGAGCAGGGGCAAGTGAAGGTCTCCAATGTCAGGGAAGGTATCTTTCAGAGAGCTCCGCCTGGCTGAAGATTTAGCTCAGTGTTTGCCTGATAAGCATAACGTCATGAGTTCGATCCCCAATATCAAAAAACAAAACAAAAAACCCAAAGAGCTCTACGTGGAACAGTAAGCCACAGAAGCACAATAAAATGGGGGCCCTGGGGGCAGGCACCTGCGTGTGGGGGGAGCAGAGGGTGGGGAGGGGGCAGCTCAGTCTTGAAGAGGAAGTGAGGCAGCAGGAAGGGGGGTGGGGAGGGGATTCCCCAGATGGAGGCTAGATGTCCCTCAAATGCTAGATTTGAGGAAGAAAGGCTGATGCAGAGCTGCTGTCTTTAGATGAGGCCCAGTTCCTGGGACTTTCAAAGGTCAGGGCAGGTCAGTCAGCAGCAGACATTTGGGCACTGCCATCCTGGGAGGGTCTCTCCAAACTCCACATGAGGAGAGAATGGATCTAAATGTCAGCAGCTCCAATGCCTGATCTTGGGCATTGTCTGCACCTCAGTTTTCTCATCTATAGAATGGACCCTGTGGGCTTGTGATGAAGGTGGGTAGGGAGGTGCCTGGCTCAGCCACAGTGGTAGTCACTGATCCTCTTACAGAATGAAATGGACTTCAGAGCCTAAGGCTGCTCGCTTGGTGGGGTCTATAGCCCCTGATGCCTGCCCACCAGTGACCACCCTTCACTGGGCTGGCCAATCCTCTCAGGTCCAGCCAGCAGATATTTTACGTATGTATCTATATATGTATGAGTATGTTTATTTGAGACAGGGTTTTGCTATGTAGTACAGGATGGCCTGAAACTCTTAGGTAGCTGTCTTAGTCACTTTATGCTCGTCGCTGTGACAAAATACCTGAAGCCCAAAGTTGGGAAAGGAAAGGTTTATTTCTTACAGTTTTTGGAGGTTTCAGTCCACACTCAGTTGGATCCAAGGCAGGCAGGCAGGCAAGGCTGGGCGCTGTCCATGGCGGCTGCAAAAAGCAAACCAGGAACTGGCTAAGAGAAAGACACACCTTCTTCCTGCCATTACATCACATCCTGGCTCCACCCCTACGTGAGTGTAGCACTAACACCATCAATCCAAGCACTATACAATGAACCAATCACAAATACAGAATGTAAACTCATGAGGCCTGGGGCCACAGACATCAACCATGACAGTAGCACCATCTGGCTTCAAACTGACAGCGGTTTTCCTGCCTCGGCCTTCTGAGTGCTGGGATTACAGGCGTGCACCACCATGTCCTCTTTAAATCCCAAATTTCCTTCCAAAGTACTTGGCTTGTAGGTCTTCTGTGTTTTGGGGACTGGGGCTTGAACCCAGGAACTTTGTGCCGAGCTACATCCTCAGACCTTTTTACTTTGTGAGACAGGATCTCAATAAATGGCCCAGACTGGGCTTGAAATTGCAGCCCTCACCCCTGCTCCCAGTGTGCTAGGGTTACAAGATGCACCCCCAGCTGGGTTTTCCACTTGCCTACACACTGTGAAGCAAACCACGTCTTCCCTCCTTTACCTCTTGGCCCCCTGGAACCAACAGATGGACCTGGACGCAACTTCAAGCCAGGACCCAGAGCCTGGGCTGCTGCAAAGAGCACCTTTATTCACAGCAACAGGACATCACCATGGCAACAACACTCCAATTCCCTGAGAGCTTCTCCCTTATCCTCCACTTTCCTAGCTATGTCTTTGCAAACAGAACACAGAACGCAGGACACACCCCAAGGCCAGGTGAGCCACACTGAGCCAGGTGGTCTGGGGAGGAAAGGGGAGGGCGATTCCAGATACTGGAACACATAAATACAGAGCAGGTTAGACATTCCCCGGTCAGCTTTACAAACAAAGGGATCCCAAGTTTGGCTTCTGCTTTTTCTGACCCACAGAAAACATAAAATAAGACCCTCCCCACCCCAAAAAAACATGCAACACCCTCCCCTTAACCCACCCTCTGTCAAAAACAGCACAGTAAAAAAATACTGTCACAATATTTACAGGCACGCCCACTGTGGGCGACATTCTCTCTACTTTGGAGAGGAGATAAAATACTCAGCTCTGACTCCCCCAATCAGGGGAGACAAAGCAGGATCTCAGGGGGCTGGGAAGGCCCTCAGCCCAAGAGGGCTGTTCACTAACTGCACAACCACCAGGGGACTCCTGGGGTCACTGGGATGGGCAGTGGCTCCTGTTACTCAGAGCCACATGCAGTGCCTGAACTCCCAGGAGGGGTACAGGCCTCTCACCCCCAAACCAGCTTCCCCCACCCCAAGCATGGCTCAAGACTCTAGGGCCCATGCTCAGTTAGGAGGGGCACCCATATCCTCGCAGAGAAGCCCTGAGCAACAGAGATCCAAACCTCATGACAACACAGAGCTGCCCAGAGGGACCACAGGGTGTGGGGTCCTCTATCCCAACTCGTGCCCTCTGGGCTCTACCCCTCACCCCTCACCCAAGTCCCTCCAGGTTCTATGCTCAGCCCTTCCTGCGCTCATTCAGTCCTGGCCAGGCCCAGGGACACACACCTGCTCATGGAGCTCAGAGGCAGGCACCTGCTGCAGGTTCTCCAGGTGCGAGTGGAAGAGGCCACTGCGAATGAGGGGCACGCCCAGCAGAGCTTCCACAATGTAGCCCACAGTGCAGTCGTCTGGCAGCCGGATGCGCTCCGCAGTGCTCATGAAGTGGCCTCCGCTGTAGGGGGAAGGGTGGGGACAGTAAGCAGGGGCAGCTGCCTGTGAGGGGTCTGGGAGGGCTCCACAGACCGGGCAGAGAAGAGGCAGACGCGTCTGCGGGGCAGGGTGAAGAACATGCTGAGTCTCCTGCCCTGGTGCCACTTCCTCCTCCACACCAGTTCTGAGGCTCCTTGGTTCTGAGTGTGCGTGGCAGTTTCTGCAGGTTGATGTAGTTGTCATCATCCACATGGCAGAACCATCTGAGGGCAAGGCAAGGCCATGAGGAGGGCACCTTCAGACAGGGGAAGGTGCTGGTGGGCGTGGGCAGGGCAGGAGAGCTCCTGGGGCCAACTCACTTCCTCCCGGACTCAATGAAGTGGTCATACTCCACAGCCATCTTGCAGGCCAGCGCCTGGCGGCTGTGAGCAGCTGAGCAGTTGGTGTTGACCACATTGCCTGCAGGGGTGGGGGTGCTGTGAGGGCCTGGGCACCAGCAGGGTCCCCGAAGTACTCTCCTCACCCTAGTGCAAGGCTGAGGCCCATGGACCCTCCCTCAGGCCACCCCGTCCCCAGGGTGCCCGGTCCCTGCCCATTCAGCCAGCTTTTTCCCAGCACCTACCACCAGTTGCTGATGGCCAGGCTCAAAGGGACCTTGGGGGCTGAAAGGGCCTCCTTTGCCACCACCACCACCCCACCCCCAGTGGTGGGGCCCAGCCTTGAGCAAACCCTTGACTAAACTGCCCTCCTAGGGGGCTGGGGATTTAGCTCGGCGGCATAAGCGCCTGCCTTGCAAGCAGGCAGTCGTGAGTTCGATCCCTGGTACCGATAAAAAGAAAAAAGACAAAAAAAATAAAAATAAAAAAAAATAAACTGCCCTCCTAACCCTTAGGTCCCTGGCCTCTCAGGGGCCTCTTGGGCCCCTGTAGAAGAGGAAGGATGGACATTTGCTCTGAAAGAAGGCACCCCCTCCCTGCCCCAAGCCCCCCAAGCCCAGGGCTCACCCGTGTGCCTGGCCAGCACTTCATCCTCCCCATCGGTGAAGATGAATGTCTGGAAGTGAAGATGAATGTCTGGAAGGAAAGACACGACCCTGAGCTGCAACTTAGTGTCTGCCCCTGGGCCACGGTGGGGAGGGTGGGCAGTGCTGGGTCCCCTGGAGTTGCAGCTGCAGCTCTGGACATCCCCTCCCCACCAGCATTTAGCCCCCCTGCTCCGACCACTTTCCCCACCTTCGAGAAACAGTGCGCAAGTACCCAGGGTAAGTGGCAGCTGGATGGGGCCTCACTCTCTAACCTTGACAGCTGGGCCCAAGGTCCCCTAGGCAGCTGGGAGGCACGAGCCAGGTGGGTGTCCCACCTGGTAAATGGCTCCTCCTCGCCAGCACCTGGGGTAAAGGACAGGAGGGGAGGGGAGTCACTTGGGTCGGGGACAAAGGCCTCTCTGCAAGCCCTGGCAGACAAAGGGCCCAGAGGGAGGATGAACCACCAGGCATTGTCGGCTGGCTTTGTCCTGGGCCTAGTGGCAGGGGTGCAGGAGGCCTTAACTTGGAGGAGAGTTAAGCAGGAGTGGCCATGTGTCATTACCATACAGCTGGCTTGGTTAACTGGGCCAGGCTGGGCAAGAGGTCCTTGGCAGGGGTGTGGCCACCAGCACTGCAGCCCAAGGCTGCGCCATTGAGCGGGTTCCCCAGTGTGTGACTAGTGTGACAGGTTACCCTCTGCCAAAGCTGTCCCCAAGGTTCTGTGAGATGGTGTTGGTCAGTGTGGTGGTGGCAGGAAAGGGCCTCCTCACCCCACCCCAGTCCCCAGTTGAGGGCCCGGACCCCCTCCTGTTGTTCAGGCAAGGTAATGGCTCATTGGCAGAGGACTGTGCCCTGCCCAAGGCCACAGCGAAGCTCCATCTGTGCTGGCACCCAGCCATCCTGCACGCTGCCAGGATTGCTCTGCAGAAGAGGAGGGGGCCGTTGGGATGGGGTGAGAGCTGCCGGTGCCGGCCTGGGCCCGTCGGCACACGGGGAGGTATGTGCCTTCATCTGCCGGCCGGCCAGTGTGTGCAGTCCATGCCCTGCAAGACTGCGAGCCTGGGGGGAGGGGTGCTCTGAGCAGACAGTGGGGGGCTCCCATACCCACCAAGCCTTAATTTCCTTTTGTGTACACACAGCTCCAAGGGAGGCTCCAGGGCTTGTGGCCTGCAGTGCATCACACCCCCAGCAATCAGGGATCCCTGCAGGCCAGAAGGCAGCAACCTCGCATACCTGGACAGTCCCAGCTCTTGGTCCAGCAGGACCTTGGACACATCCTTGGGTGAAGCTCCTGGGGTGCAGGTTGCAGGCCCCAAGCTCAAGGATATACTGATGTCATTTATGCCTTCTTCATGAATCCAACCTCCCTTTCCAGGGCTGGGCAGACACCCTGGACTGCACAGACACAAGCCCCAGCCCCCAGCCCAGGAATGCCGTGGGAAGCGGAGAAGGCCAGTTGTGTAGACCTCTGGTGCGCCACTGTATTAAAAGGAAAATGCTTTCTTAATGAGATCAAGCGAGGCTTGTTGTCCCTTCTTTGGTGGCACCCTAAAAACCCAGCCCAGGGCTACAGGAGAGTAAAGTCACCTTTGTTCAGCTCGGGAGTGGGAGGCCTCCTGGAGAAGCGCTGGGAGGGCCCGGGCGTGGAGCCTCCATCTCTCCAACACAGTCACCAGAAGAAAAAGAGAAGGGGCTAAAGCTCAGGCCACCACCCCTCCTTCACCCAGACTCAGTTTCTGCCTCTGTAAATGGGCTCAATAGTGCTCATCTATGTTGAGCAAAGTACTGAGGACAGACTGTCCTTTCCTGAACCGTCACCATCACCACCCCAAGTACACAATCGGGGAAACCGAGGCCATGGTCACACCTTACTTAGGGCCTCCTAGGACTCTATACCCCCCAACTTCCTGAAGGAGGAGAATCAGGGTAGTGAGAGCAGCAGAACTGGATGAGGACTGAGGGGGAGGCACCCACAGGAAGCAGCATTGTTCCTAGAGCCTTGATTCAAAGAAATACAGGATGCCAAGTTCTCCCCCAACCACTGTGGCTGCTGTGGTGGCAGCCCCTGCTGCCTGGCGTGCTCCTGGGAGGTGGGGGAGGAACAGCAGGCCTGGAGCCAGGCTCTTCACCCTGACCTCAAGGCCTTGCTGACCAGCGCCCCAACCCCCACCTTTCCAGTGGTGAGAACCTTCCAGCACAGTCGCTGGGGCCTAGGGCTCAAGCCCCAGATTCCCAGATTGCCCTTCCAAGGCACTCCTGACTCAATGGGGTGCAGAGGGCACCTCTATCAAAAAGCCTAGTCACCCTATCCCTGCAGGCAAATGCCTGTTGGACCTCACAGCCTCTCTAGTTGACCGGCGCAGCCCCCCAATGAGACAGGAGACGCTCTTGTGGGCGACAGTTAACTGCTGCTTTATTCACGCAGGCTGTAGAAACTAGATGAGGGGTGATAAAAGGAAAGAGAAGAAACAATCTTTGCACAATAATAGGCCAGTCCCGTGGTAGGGCCGTCAACAATGGCAAGCCCCGACGCCTGCCAAGTTAACCAACTACACCTGGTGCTGACCCAGAGCAGCTGTGAGCTGCTTAATGAGCGGCATGGCTGTCTCTGCGTCTCCAAAAATTCTCCCTGCCGCCTCCATCATGCGGGCCACAAAATCTGAAAAAGGCTTGCTCGGGCCCTGCAAAATTTTTGTCAAGTGGCCTGAGACTTCTCCCCTAGCCGAGACCCGTTTCCATGCTTGTATGGCTATTCTATTTATCTGTGCATACACCTCTTGTGGAAATATCAGCTGGTTATTGAGATACTGCCCTTGTCCTAATAACATATCTGCGTTCCAGGCGGCCTGATTGTTCCGGGCATTAGCTTGGGCCTGTTCTGTGGCAAGTTCAACATTCCAGGCTTTCCAATCAAGATATTGGCCTGGGCTGAGCACCGCCTTGCACAAACTGGCCCAATCAGCAGGTGTCATGGCGTTTCCTGCCAGGGCTTCTACTAGGGACAGGGTATACGCCCCGTTAATACCGTACATGGTGCTGGCCTCCTTAAGATGCTTTATCGCCTTTATATCTATAGGCAGGTGGGCTCTGTTTCCCTGAGCATCTACAGCAACTGGAAAAGCCTGGAGAAAACGGCCCAGGCCTCCTGGGTCCTCTCTTTTGACTTGATGCCATAGGTCTTCCTGGAATGTCCCAGGGGACGTCTGGACCCATTGCGGACAGCTACATAGCTGATGGCAGGGTCTCGGGTAAGCATGATAATCTGGCGGGTCGGGAGGTAGAGCCGTAGGTCTTATACGGGGCGGCCCTGGGATCCCGTACTCGCTTTCATTGACCCATTTACTCTGAGAAATGCTGCGTTGCAGCTCATTTATGGCCTCAGAGTAGGGCCCTCTCGACTGCGTGTGTGTGACTTCCCCTCTTTCGGTGGTGTCTGCATCCGCCATTTTGTATACTTCTTCTTCCTCCCCCTCATTATCTGATGAGTCCTCTGTTTCTGGGTTGGGTGCGGGTCACCTCGCCTGCGGCACTAGACTCGCAAGATTGCTCGCGGGAGGATTCTGCCTGATGGTAACCAAGCGCCATTGCGCCAGCCCTTATATGGTCACGACAAGAGGCATCTGCGAGGCAGCTCCTCACTACTGCACAAAGGGGTCTGACTCCTGGCTCCAGGAGGCCATTTTCTGCTGCAAAGTCAAGATCTCTCCCTAATTTATCCCAGCTGGGGATGGTAATGGACCCCGTGGGACCAAACCAAGGTGCTACCTTATCGACCTGATCGAGGAAGTTTTGAATTTGTTCTCGATTCATTTGTAATCCCTTTTCTCTCAGTAAGTCGCCCAAAGCGGCTGAGTAGCGGTGTTACCCATGTTAACCGGAATTTCAAGAGTTTCTTTTTGTTGGGAGCCGCGGCCGAGCCCGGTCGCCTTACTTGGCGGACGTGAGGCCTGTAGGAAGGAGCAAAGCCTGAGCTAGATTACCCCTCCCATCGAGTGTGCTAAGATGGCGCTTGTCTCCTGCTTCCTGCTTGGTAAACAACCCGCTCTGTAAGATAGTCTGCCTAGCAACAACTGATGTTAGCCAATCAGCCCGCATCGCGCGCTTTGAACTGATTGGCCACTGTAACCTTATAAAAGTGAGTGCCTCTCCCGCCAGAGGGAGAAGCACGGAAGGAGCCGCGGGGAGCGGACCGGTTGAGGCTTCGGCCGGGTAGGATCCCGGGGCAGACTGTGAGGAAGACAAATAAAGAAAAGCTTGTCCACCACGAAACCCTGTTGCGTGCTGTTCCTGCTGGCCGGGAGCGACACTGACATCTTTTTATTTATTTATTTTTGTTTCCTTTTTCCTTTTTTTTTAACAGGGACAGCTTAGTCCCTGCGCCCCTTTACGGCGCCTCCAAAACCTGCCTCTTTACGGCACCGGGAACTCTCTTTACGAGTTCCTCGACCCTTGCGACGCGTCCGCCCAAGGTTGCCCGATAGCCCCCGCCATCCAGCCCAGCAGCACCCGCTGCCTGTTGCATAGCCCCCGCTACCAACGTTGAGCAGTTTAACCTGTGAGCCCCCGCCCACCGAGTAGCCCCCGCTATCAGCGCTTGACGGTTTTACCTGTTAACGTCTCTGTTCCGTCGGAGAGAGAGGTTCGTTCCCTGTACTGTCGGAGAGAGGGTCTCAGCGTTCCCCGTACTGTTGGAGAGAGGGTCTCAGCGCTCCCCGTACGGGCCACCAGTTGACCGGCGCAGCCCTCCAATGAGACAGGAGACGCTCTTGTGGGCGACAGTTAACTGCTGCTTTATTCACGCGAGCTCTGGTTTATATATTTGGCCGTGACCAATCACAGGCTGCCACGAGGAAGCAGGGCAGGAATGGGACACAGGCTCTGGCTACTATATCCAGCTATGGCCAATCAGGAGTTGCCACAGAGTACAGAGTGACCACGAGGTGCGCACGGGTTGGCTAATTTAAAGAGGGACGTAGCGCATTGCGGAAGCTGGCATGGTTCTTAGTCCCGGGTGGGGTATGGTATGTTGAGCGCCTGCGCCCAACATCTAGTGTCCCCCACTGAAACTAGGCCTGAGTTACACGCCATAGGCTAGGAAAGCAGGCTCTGCACTACAAGTTCCAGAGACCCCTGCCTACAAAAGACGGGCTGTGTTTGTTGTGCGCATCTGAGCTGATGGTGGAAGCAGATTCAGCCTTTCCTAATGGGGCAACCTTTCAGCAGGGTCATCAAGGCCCAGTGCAGTGATGGTCCCGACCCTGAATACCTAGTAGGTGCCCCCAAGACCTCCAAGTTTTGCTAGCCCTCTTTTTAAAACACTCTGTTGGGAAGGCAATGTTTTTCCCATTGTAGAGATTCAAAACCTGAGTCAGAGAAGCCCTAGGGTTTGCTCAAGATTATTCAACTCAGCTGAGAGAACTAAGACCCCCTGACCACGTCCTCTCTGCTGGAAAAAGCTCCAAACTCCAGGATAAGAGGTGATCAGAGCTGGTTGGTGGCAGTCTAGAGAGGGCTGAATGCTGTCCTAGGTCACACAGAGGGAAGGCCAAGTGCTGGGGGGGGGGTGTCCCTGGCTCAGGGATGGTGCCCCACTAGAGTTTTCAGGGGTGGTGGGGGGCAGGTCCCCTCATCGCCAGGCAACCTGAGTGGCCAGCACGGCAGCAGCGGTTCCCATGGAGCACAGAGCTGCACACAAGAGGCCCGAACGCCTTTCTCCCAGGAGAAAGGGGCTTTGTTACCTTGCCTGTGGAGCGAGTGTGAGAGCCGACCCCCCACCCCTGACAACTCTAGTGGGACACCCCCTACCCCAGCACTTGGCCTACACTCTCCCTACACTCTCTGTTCACTTCCAAGACATGTGCCTTTCTCCCCGGAAGGGTTCAGGGCCCAGGGAAGATCTCCCTTAGTGGGCTGGAGGAGAATATGATTGGGGATGTTTGGGGAAAATAAAGGCCCACTGCTATCTACAGTTTGGAGAGCAACATCACAAGCACCAAACCCAAACGCAAAGACTGCTGTAGGGTCAGTGAGGCCACAGGAGCCTCTGGAGCCTGGCGGAGACGTCCCCCCTCCCAACACTCCCACGACAGTACAGACAGTGGGCCCAGGAGGTAAACAGGGCTCAAAGGGGTTGGATCGGGCCGCTACGTAGGTGACAGGTTGTAGCTGGCCCCCAGCAGGCCCCACCCCACCTGCCTGGCCAGACCGCCAGGACTCACCATCTCCTTGTGGCGCGAGATCCAAGTCTCCAGCAAAACAGGTCTAGGCGCGCACGATGAAACTTCCTGGTGGTCTTGACCGCGATGAAGACATCCCTAAGGACCAGTGGCTCGGCCGGGGTCCGGGGTGGCCGTCGGCGGGACGGGGGTGCCATAGGGCAGCAGCCCGCATCCCGGTCACGCCTCCGCATGCTGATTGGCTCTGGCCCTCAGGGGGCGGAGCATCGCCCACGTGGGGCCGCTGCAGGGGGCTGGGAACCTCGGTCGCCCCTCCAGCTGGCACACGTGCACGCCCCGCCCTGCCCGGGGTCGTCCCCGGGAGCCGCCGGGGGGGGGGGGGGGGAGTGGTTGGGGCTCGGGTTGGGCCTCGCCAGATGCGCCAAAAGGGGACACCTAGGCTGACCAGCGCGGGCCTGGGCCGCCCTCGGCGACTGGCATGCGCAAGGGCGCGCCCTCCGCGTCTTGGCTGGGTGTTGGGACTCAGCTCCGGCTCCGGCTCCCCGCAGGGGATGTCCTGACTTCCCTCCGGAGCCCAGCTTCCTCCTCCCGGGACAAGGCAGCGGGACAGACAGAAGTCTATCCCCTCGTTCCAGTGAGAACACCTGTCCCAAACTCCACCCCTCGCCCGGCTATTTCCTGGAGTGCTTTGTCCCCCGAAGTTCTTAAGCACCCAGCGGCAAGAAGTTAAGGCCGCCCTTTCCCTCGAGGGATGAAAGACCGCCTTCTGTCCCATTTGGTCCCTCCTCGCTTGGGTCAGATGTGACCCAGCTGTGCACCGCTCTGCCCCGCCTTCCAGCACATGGCCCCCAACCCTGGCGCTTCCCACGGGGCCCAGTCGACCCCCTGCACGAGCAGAATCAACTCAAAGGCATGGAGAGTCAGTGGGCAGCCCTGGGGGCCAAATATTCTGCAGACTGCCAAGAGGGAACAGGGAGCAGCCATTCTACCCACAACTGTGTGACCGAGTCCCTCAAATCAGAGGGTAGGATTCGCTCAAGCCCCTTAACCCCAGGCCTCCATGCTCCTGGCTCTCTGGCCACGTAGCTTTCAGATGCCAGGCTGGGAGCAATGCACCCATTGTACAGAGCACAAGCTGAGGCTCAGAGGGGGAGCATCTTTACCAAAGGAATCCCTGCAGCCAGGCTTTGGGGAGTGGGGGACTCAACTGTAGCCACTGTTTTGGAAACATCAGAACAAAACAGCTTGCAGCTTTCTTGTGGGGGCTGCAGGCCTTGGTAAGAGTGATTCTATTTATTTGCTGTCAGGAGAATGGAATTGCATGGTGACTCCTTGGGGTCTGAAAACTGGAGGAGGGTGGCCGGCCACCTCTGCCCTTCCCCAGGCCCAGCTCCAGCCTGAGGTGCTCCCCTTCCCCCTAGATCCCAAGGCTATCTCCAGGAACTGCTCTCCAGGGAGGTGCTTAGCTGAGGGCAGGAAATGGGGGTCTGGGAGGGGGAAGGTCAGGTTGGCTGGGAAGCCCCTTGGGACCCTGCAGTCCTGGAAGGGGGCAGAGGGAGGATGGTCCCAGGCCCCAGCCTGGGCAGGATTCCAGGAGCACAGCCAGGCTTCTTGCCTTCCCATCCCAGAGTGGCCACCTTTCAACCGACCTTGGACAGTGACCTTGCTCCACTCCTGTGAGCCTCAATTTCCCCACCTGTAATATGGAGATGACTTTTTTTGCAATGACTGAACCCAGAACCTTTCTCTTGGTAAGCTAATGCCCTACCACTGAGCTACATTCCCAGCTGTGGCTTTCCTGAGGCCTCCAGGACCCCCTCCAGGCTCGGGGCAGTATTGTGCCCCACTGAGTTCAGAGCCTCTTCACCTACAGGCTCAACCTGGGGTCTGTGACCTTGGAGCGCTTGGGACTGGCTGCCATCTTCCCCCAGTGGTGTCCTGGGAAGATCTGTGGAGACATAATGGGTGAGCCATTAACTACGCAGGAAGTCATCCGAGGCAGCCCACAGGCCTATCACTGCTCTGTCCAGTGGTTCCACTCAATGTCCTGGAAACCTGCCTCCCCCGGCCCACAGCCCAGCCCAGAGAGGGAAGGTAGGGTCCCTGGCTGCACATCCAGGCAGGAATGTGAGACTGGTTGCTGGACAAGCTAGGAATGCCAGACTGCAGGCCGATAGGAGGGAGCACAGGTACCTACAGACCCCTAGGGGACAGTAGCCTGGCCAGAGTGGCTCAGTCTAAAGCCTGTGGGTGAGCATCATGCGGGAGGATGAGAGGGACAGGGCCTGGTGGAAGCTAAGTACCAGGACTTCTAGGCGGGGGGTTGGGGTGATTCCCATGGTTGCATTGGAAGGCTGGGATAGGCAACCTCTTGCTGTGATCAGAGGCCCACTTGGTCCCAGACGCCTGCCTGCCCTGCACCCTTGCTGCTGCCCACTCTGTGTGGTCTTGGGCCAGTTCCCGTCTCTCCTTGTGGGCTCAAGATTCCACTTGGCTGTAATGGTAACGTGGCTGGCGCCTCCCTGCCCTGCCCACCAAGTTGGCTTGGGATGGTGCTCTGCAGGCATAAATCAACCGCCTTCCCACTGGCAGCCTGACCCTTAGGTCTGGACCCTGGGCCCTGGCATGGACAGAGTGGCTGGGCTTTTAGGGCCAGTCTGACTTGGCCTCGGTGACTCAGAAAGGCTCTCAGGGTACCCTGACCTGGGAATGCTGCAAGCCAGCCAAGAGCTACCTCTTCCAGGAAGTCCCCTATCCCCTAGGTCATCCGTGGATCAGTACCAACACTTGGGGCTGTAACTGCCTGTTTACCATCTGCCTTCATGAGGGCAGAACACAAGTTACACTGTGTCAGGGCCTGGCACAAAGGAAGCACCCAGTAAACACTAGATGAGTGACACGTGGTGGGAGTAGACAGATGGATAGACGGATGGAAGGACAGACAAATGGAGGGATGGGTGGACAGATAGGTGGATGGGTGGATAAATAGACACGTGGGTGGATAAATAGGTGAACAGATAGGTAGAAGGTTGGATGCCTAGATGGATGGACAGATGGATAATGGATGGATGGATGGATGGATGGATGGATGGATGGATGGATGGATGGATGAGTGGGTGGGTGGATAGGAGGATAGATAGCCTGTTGGATGGGGGCTGGGGGTTTAGCTCAGCGGCATAAGCGCCTGCCTTGCAAGCAGGTACCGATAAAAACCACAAAAAGACAAAAAAAAAAAAAAAAAAAAGCCTGTTGGAGGCCACCTGCTTATGACTGAGCTTGGCCATCCTGCTGGGAAAAGTACCGGTACCCCTTACACAAGCCTCCAAGGGCCGCTCTTAAGCCTCAGGAGTCCAGCAGGGACAGCAGGGAGAGGGTCTCCGCACTGGGGCATGGACTTGTCCACACTAGGAGGGCAGACCCAAACCTGCCAGCTGAGCCTCTTCCTGTGACTGTGCTTGGAGCCAGCTGGGTTGAGGGGCTGGCTGGGCCTAATCTGATTTGCAGGTCCCAGGCGCAGAGCCTGACTACGAGGACCCACTTACTGAGGTCCTGCAGAGGCCAGACACGCACCCTGCAGACACCAGAGTCACCCGGCCCTAATGGTCTTTGTCTTCCCAAGAATGGCTAGCTTGTGTGGCAGCCACAAGTAGGCACCAGGCACAGGCCCCCGCCCCAGTCATGACCCTGTGCCCAGGGGCAGTGGAAGGGGGCTCCAGGCTGGGTGGAGGCGGAAGAGGTCAGTCTTGGCTCCAAGGGCCTTCTTCACTGTGCGAAAGGTACGGCTGCGACCTCAAGCTCTTCCTCCGTAAGATGGGCTGTCCTCTTAAGGACAGGATGGATATGGCGTGGGTGGGTGGGAACCTGGGCTCCCAGAAATGACAGTCACTTCTGCAAAGAGAAGAGTCATCGGGTCTGAGAGTCATTGCTGGGCTCAGGCTTCCACCCAGTCCTTTCATCCATTCGTCTGTCTGACTGTTCGCCTACCCCTGTGCCCAGCCCATTTCACTCGCTCATCAAACACTGGCCCTAAATGTTTTCTCCATGCCCAGCCCTGCTCGGTATGGAGCGATTTAGACAAAGAATTTGCTAGCTTAGGCTTGAGGACAAAGACCTCAGCAGTCTCCTCTGCACCTGGAATGGGGGTGACAGGGGAGCAAAACCGAGCCAGGGCTTCCTAAGCAGGCTGTGCCCTGGGGAAGGAACTTTCCTGCCTCTTCCTGCTCCCCTGGTCACAGGCAGCAGAAGCCTCCAGGTCCACCTGGGTGTTCAATTTCCTGCACTGCCCGCTGTCCCCCACCACCTTCCCCAGGAGAAAACGACATACACACGTGCGCACACCCATGCACGTGCCTACACCAGTGCCACAGCGTGCACAACCCCCAGAGAAAAACTGGGGAACAGGAGCCTGTGGTGGCAGCCAGCTCTGTCACCCCAGAGGTGCTGGGATGATCCAACACATTTCCACCATGGCCAAGACCAGTCTGCAGAGCAGATTTTCACACCTTCCCAGTGGTGATTCCGAGCTGCTGGAAACCGTTGGGAAGGCTGGAGAACTGTCTCCCCGTCTCAGCCAGGCACCTCAAAATTCTGCCGAAAGTGAAGGCAGGGGTTGAGAGAGAAGAGTGGAGTGGATGGGAGAGACCCAGGAGGTGGCTGCCATCCTGGCTCGTGGGTAGGGTGCATGGGCAACCAGGGACGTGGGTGACACTAGAACCCGGGCCTGCATGGAAGGAGTAGTGGCCAGAGTCCAGTGGCCTCTTGTTTTCAGGAAGCTGCTGCCAGCCTCCCTCTGCCCTAACACCCATGGGAGTCTCACCTGCTGTCACCGCTAGGCACCTCATGCTCAGGACAAGCCCACCAGGGCCACGAGGGGACTACCATGACCACTGGCCCTTAGGAGAAGAAGGGGAGGGCCCTGTGCATGTTAGCAGCCCTCTGTCACCTCAGAGGCACTGGGATGAGCCTACACATTTCCACCAAAGCCAAGACCAGTGACCTGGGCAAGCTCTGTCCTCCACAGGCAGGATCCACAGTGTTGGATGGGTCAGCCCAGCTGCCTTGGGGGCCAGGTCAGCATCATGAAGGAAGGTGTTGGGTGTACAGGTGTGAATCAGTCCCCTGATAGGTTTACAGGTGTGGATCAGCCCACTGGTGGGTTTATAGCTGTGGATCAGCCCACTGATGGGTTTCTAGGTGAGTGTGACATTGAGAA